GAACAAAACAATAATGCAATAAAACCACTAGTTCATTAAATTGGAATGCTGGGATTGAATTACTAATTTATGTTGTTTTTAATTTCATATTATAAATTATACTATTTTAAAATATAGGGAAAAACTGTTCCCTTGGAATCTGCCTACATCCAACATGGACTAGGAAAGTTTTATTTGTCCCTGGGGAACTGGGAAGTAGGGGGATTCACTGCAAACTTGCTGTTTCACAAGAGTACACCATGAAACATTCATAGTCATGTTTCCTGCATTATAGGAGGCTTACTAAACATAGCCAATCACTTACAAATACTCATGTCATTCTAAGGTGTCTGAAAGGATCTTTAAAAGAAAAAGGCGGATTTTGAAAATTCGACTTCAGAGGTATCAGATATATTTTCCCAGAGATTGCACTCTGAAACAAGGACAAGTGCACAGTTTACGGGGGATCAGCACTCTGGAAGTGAAAGGAAGGATGCGTGCAGAGGTGGATAAAGCAACTACCCTTTCTTCTCTGCAATGACTGGGAAATGGGCTTGACTAGGGAGTAATGAATCTCAGCAGTCCAGCCACTTGCAGTAGAGGACTGTAGCTGAGGGCTGTCTGCTGGCAGTGCTGGCAACTCACAGCAGCAGTCCTGAAGGAGGGTCTGTGAGGGGCATCACGGCATCCACTATTAAAAGAATTTCAGGCTGGGCACAGTGACTCACACCTGTAATCCCAACACTTTGGGAGGCTGAGGCAGACAGGTCATGAGGTCAGGAGTTGAAGACCAGCCTGACCAATACAGCAGAACCCCATCTTTACTAAAAATACAAAAATTAGCCGGGCATGGTGGCACACGCCTATAATTCTAGCTACTCAAGAGGCAGGAGAATCACTTGAACCCTGGAGGTGAAGGTTGCAGTGAGCCAAGGTCGCACCACTGCACTCCAGCCTGGGCAACAGAGCGAGACTCCGTCTCAAAAAAAAAAAAAAAAAAGAATTTCAATAAAACTAGATAAACGTGTCCAAAAGCAACAGAGGAAAAACATCTGACTTAGAAGATTTTAGTCCATTGAACATTGTCTTCATTCACTTAGCGACCTTTCCTTTGGTAATTATTTTGTGCTGACCTTTCACTGGATGCCATGGAGATGAATTAATCATAGAAGGATCCTGAGCACCAAGCATCCACCACAGGCAAAGCGTTTTATATAGAGCTCTCCAGCCAATCCCCACAAAAACCATATGCGATTGGTACTGATTCTGATGAGAAAACCAAGATTTTATGAATGTTAAAAATTCGTCCAATGCCACCTAGTAAGTGATAGAGCAGAGAGGCAGTCGTTCTGCCTGAGCCAAGTCCACACTGTGCCCAGGGCAGACAGACAACCATGACACAAGTAAGTACTGTGCCACATTTCAAGTTCAGGCAAAGGTCTGAGAGAAGTGAATAAATCTAACTAACTAGAAGGATGAAGATTAGAGGAGCCTGGAAGACCAAGTAGGATCCCCAGGGTCTGAATAAAAAGGACAAATTGGAAAAGATGCATGATGATTAGGAACATAAAAGTAATTCATTCTCCACACAGGATTCAGTGTAATCCTTTTGAAACCAAGCCACACCATACTTAAAACTCTCACCCTATACCTCAGTCCATCAGGATTCAGCTCAAAATCCTTAACACAGCACATACAAGTCCTCAAGCCATTGACATACTTCCCTTGCCAGCCCCAGACCTTAACATTCTTCAGCTTAAAATCTATACCCAGGTTAGGCTGAACTGTTTTCTGTCCCTCCAGGCTTGCTCTCGGGTCTGCTTCTCTGTATCTCTCTCTGTCACCCTGTCCTTCTCTCTTTGTGCCTTTCCCAACTCTCTCACTCTCTTCTCTGGCTTTCTTTGTTTTCTGCCTGTCTCTCCGCTGTCTCTGTTTCTGTCTCTTTCCCTCTCTCTGCCTTCCTATGCATCTGTCTACTCCCACTCTGGGCCTCTGAATATCTATTTCACTCTTGTTGGGACAGTTTCCACTTTGTTGCCTCTCACCTCACTCATTCCCATTCATCTTTCAGGTCTCTGCTCCAGGGTCATTCTGGGAAGCCTTCTCTGGGTTTAATGCCTTCCCACATGCTTCCACAGCTGCCTGTGTCATCTACCCTTTGGCAGTTAACTCACACTTCATTGAAACATCCTCCTCTCTTCCTAACACCATCTGCTGCTCACCGGACTGTTAGCTCCTGAGAAATAGGGACCATGTCACATTCACACTATACCACTTGACCCATGCCTGGTACCTGGTGCATAGTAGGCATTTAATTATGTTGCAAAGAACAAAGGAAGGAAAGAAAGAAGAGAGGAAAGGGGAGGGGGAGGGCAGGGAGAAAGAAAGGAGAGAGAGGGAGGAAGACAGATGAGCAAAGAGAGAATTGACAATTATATTTGACAATTCAGATTTATAATATATCAACTCTAACAAGAAGCTACTGTAAAGTTTACTAATAGCTTTTGGATGAAAACAAGAAAAGGAAATGTAGGCAATTCAGTTTCAGAATGTTTTCACATGAATGCTAAAATATGCCTCTTGGACTAGAGGACTTTTGGTAGTAACTGTGAGAAAGTTAAAAAGTTTTTCACTATTTTCAGTCCATTTATAGCGTCTTTACTGCTATGGTCTTGACATTTGCTACATTTGCTGCTTTGGTTCCTTTGCAGTTCTCCTATTGAAAAGTAGATTTTTCTCTTTTGCTTTCTTTTTCATTCAGATCCACCCTCTTCCTCACAGTTTTGTAAATCTTCAATTATAAAACAATTATATGCCTATATAGATATTTTAGAAACTGCAGAAGTGATCCTACATAGAGTTTGCAATTTTATGTTTTCTCCCCTTCTCCTTCTTTTTCTCCTCCTTCATTACAAAATTATAATAGAGCTATATATTCATTTCACATTCTGCTTTTTCCCCCCCACAAGATGTAACATAAACTTTCCCCCAAGTCATTAAAAATTCCTCAAAAGGAAGTGTTTAATTGGTATGATATATTTAATTATTGAGCACATCTCAGTTTATTTAACAATTCTCTCACTTGGGAACATTCAGGTTCAATTTTTTTTTTTTTTTTAAGACAAGGTCTCCCTTTGTCGGCCACACTGGAGTTACAGTGGTGACCACAGCTCATTGCAGCCTTGACCTCCTGGACTCAAGCAATCATCTTATCTCAGCCTCCTGAGTTGCTGGTACCACAGGCATATACCACCGTACCTGGATAATTTCTGTATTTTTTGTAAAAAAAAAAAAAGACGCCTTGCCATGTTGCCCAGACTGATTTCAAAATCCTGGCCCTGACAGATCCTGTTGGCTCAGCTTCCCAAAGAACTGGGATTACAGGCATGAGCCACCAAGCCTACCTAGCCTTCAGGTTGCATTTTTTGATAGAAACATAACTACAAATTAGTTAGCAGCAAGTCTTGATATAGCTTGATTTTGCCTCATATTTGGAATGGTGCTTTTAGTGATACCACCCCTCTCCATTTTGGCTCCAGTTATTTAAACTACTATTCATTTTTAAAACTTCAGTTTGAGATATAGAAACTAAATGCCATTAAGAAAATTTCAAGATTAATCTGATAGCCCTTAGGGAAAAAAAGTTATCTACATTAATTTATTCATTTATCACACATCATGAATTGCTGTTCTGTGCTTGAGGTCTAAAAACTGTGGAGATCTTCACAAAGAGGACTTCTGAGAGCTTATGGTTTTCTGTGGTGACCAGCCATGTACACACATAGCACTAATCACAGACTGTGGGCTCAAGCCATGAGAACTAGGACAATTAATATTATAAAGATTTTTATAATATATAAAAGAGGGAGAGATCTTTTTCTATTGGGGTGCATTAGAAGGCCCTAAAGTAATTATAATATTTTAGAATAATTTATTTGTTTAATGTGTTATACAATGTGTTTATATATGCATATATGCATGTATGTATGTACAGATGTTAGGGCAAAATATAGTTATTTTGTTCAAAATTCTTAATTATGCTATTTAAATACACAGGCTACTAATTAAATAACAAGTAGTAATATTCATACAAAAATACTTTTCATAAAATGAAGTTCAGTTTTCAAAGATCATCAGAAAATAGACTGTAAAAGCAATTGTGACTTGAAGATGTCCACAAGAAAAATAGGTGCTTTTTAAGATATACAGTGATTTGCAATATTAAAGTTTATCTCTTTAACATGTTTAATTTATGAAAAAAATGTTAGGTTCTATATGCACTTCAAAAAAATTGTATGATGATTTACACTTCTGCATTGAGAATTAAAAAAATTAAAAAGCATATTTCCCCCAACAAGAAAAAATCATACCCTCCAACTATGGCAAATGTTTGCAGCTGAACTGCATTCATTTAAGTCTTCTGTATGTAGCTCCCTCTTGAGGTGCCCTTTATCTATCTTCATCTCCGGTGGTAGCTCTCTTTTTCTATTTGTGGTAAGGTTCAACTCATTACAAGATAGTAGAGTTAGAAGGAAACATCAATTCCCAAACATTCCTCCTTCAAGCACACCTTGTCTTTATTTTTAGAAATCTTGTTCCTATAATATGCTAATTTGCCTCTTTAGTATCATTGATATGTCTAGAAAAATTCACCCATGCTACATGATGGTGCAACACCATGAACCTTGAATATTTCCGAAGGTTCACAGAGGATCCTAAATCTGAGGGTCACTGTGAACTCATTCTCCAGGGCATTTTCAAGGAGTCCCTTGTTGACTAGAAGACTCCTGAAGATTGTTTTCATAAAATGACAAATATAAATGAAAAGATGATGCCAATTATCAAATGTGAACCAGATTTTAAAATAGTACAGGATACGCTTTTCATTCACCTTTTAATTGCCATTTTCATCTTCTACTTGCATGGGGAAAAGCAAGAGGAATACTAATGATTCATATTTATTTTTTCTGGTCTACATAATTTTTAAAGTTGTTTTCCTACTAAAACCAAATTATTTTAATAGGGCTCTGATCAGGATGAGAGAACAAGATGGAGAGTCAGACTTCCGAGGTAAGAAACACAGCTATTCTTCTTGCCGTTATTTGTTCAAAGATGAGCTCAATTAAAGGGAAACAAATGATATATGACCCACAAGTTCACATGTGAAAGACATTGTATTCTGAGACAGTAATTGGCTGAGGGTACAGTATAGCTAATGTGCTGTATCTGTGAACATTGTTTATACACTGAATACACGAGGTCATTATTAGCCAGATAGCAGGGCCAGTCATAGTTATACATGGCTACTTCTGTCTCTTGGCTGCTTTAGCAAAGAATATACTTTGAGATTTTTCTTTACCCCTAATTTTCACTAGAAGATATTGTTTCTTGAGTTTAACATGTTCTTATATTTTTCTAATTGGGTATTTTCCACAGCTGACAGTAAATAGTTTAATTATTCTCCCTAGCTCCACGCAGCACATGGAATAGAGCCCTCCTCATCCTCTAAGAGACTGTGCTATGTCTGAGTCATTCATGGTGAATAACAGGCTATCACCACAGCCTGAACGGGTGGCAGGCAAATGGGAGTCCTCTTCCTAAGGCAAAATCCTAGTTTCCTGGTTTTCTGCACAAGAAAATAACCCTGTGTTGGACTTTCAGAAGTAAAATAATTGCTCACAGATAAAATAACTGTAATAATTATTCCCAAACATAATAATTTCCCAATCTGTGGATTAATCATATTTAACATTTATTAAAGCTATGGAGAATTACATGAGATTTACAGAATATGGGGTTGTCATTTGAGTCATCACATGTAAGTCACAGAAAACATGAATATTTGTAAGAACGACATGTTTAAATCTGAGCCCTGAGGATATTTTGTGGTACTGAAGGGAGAAAAGGGTGTTGATTTAGTGTTTCCTGGGGTTAAAAGGCTTTTATCTGGCTTTTAGACTTGCATCTTGCCCCTGTTCACCCACCATTTTACTCAGAAAAGTAGAAATAGGTTTTCTTGAAGAGATTTTGAGGAGTGGGCTAAATAAAATAACAGGCTACTGCAGATTTATAGAAAAAGAGAAGATACGCCTCTAGCCTCCTACATTTGATTTGAACCTGGATTCTGTTACCTCCCAATTAATCGACTCTGCATTTGTACCAGGATAAAGTCATGCTGTTTATTCTGGTGTGAGCCCTACTCCACCCACATATGGAAAACTAATGGGCCATCCACTGTCCCAAAACACCAGAGAAGTTAACAAGATACATACCATTGGAGAAAATTGGACATGAAATGTTATGGAAAATACCACAATTCTCTTTCAGGGTGTGGTGGCAGGTTCCACAAAACTTATGGCTTGAAAATCTAAGGAGATACTCAATTATAATGATATAAAACATTATTTTTGATAGAACTCTGAAATGTGCAGTTCTCTTCCTTGGCACTCTCCCCTATGCTATGCTGTACAGAACATGTGCAGTACTATTCTGAGTTTTCCGGAAGTGAAACAACTTTATGGTAATCATATGCAAAATGTTTCTCAAGTTTTTTTGCAGTTTACTTTTTTATGAGTCTGTTAAAAATTTAATAGAAGCCTTGTTGACATTTTATATGCTTATTTTTCTTTCAAAGGAAAATTGGAGGATTTTTAAATTTTCATATCTAAGATGATAAAAGGTGAAATAACATCATAATTCTTATCTTGTTCAATTTGATATTTGGTTGTTTTATTTTCTTTTTATGAGTTTTATTCATCTTGTAACCAGACTTGTATGTCTCATTTTTTTAAAAAAAGGTTTATTTCACTTTTTCTGTTTTGAGGAATTTGCCTAGAGCTGAAGTATCTATGTAGAAGCCTGATGAAAAGTTCCAAATTCTTAAATACTACCTCTTAAAAATGTTAATAAATACTGTAAATATTTTAAATGCTGTAATTTCAATATTTAAACTAACTCCCAAGATGATTTTAGTGAATACTTCATCCTCTGAGAAAACTAAAAAAAATGAGCATATTTTTATCTTTAATGCATTTGAATATCACATCATATTGTTTTCCTCCCAATGTGTTTATAAAATAGAATATTTAATGTAAGGAAATGGCTACAGGCATTTATTACTTTATATAATGTTTTATTCATCCAACTGACACTAAGCTTTTATAGTTCTCCAAATACTTTACTGACCTGAGTACTTCTTTGGACCTCAAAGTCCCTGTGTGATCTCTTAAGAGAGAAACATTATGACATCTGTAGATACAGCAATTCACTAGGTTTAACACAACTATTAGTCCTTTAATTAAATATTGACTTGCACCTCCAGGTTCTACTTCAGATTAAAGAGTGATCTTTTACCCACAAATGGTTGTACTGATCTGTTGCATTTACTCAACTAACATTTATTGAGTGCCTACCATATGTAAAGCAATACTTAGGTATTGTGAGCATGTGTGCTGGTATGGTAGGAAATGGATATAAAGAGGGAAAACACTCAGGTTTTCTTCTATAATTTTTTACTCACTATTTTATTAAAAAGTTACCAATTTGAAAGCTATCCAAGAGGCTGATGCATCCTTTCTAAACAGGGAAGTTATGTAGCAGCCAGGGGAGGGAGAGATGGAGTGGTGGTATTTTTCAGAATGGTTTTTTGGTATTACAGATTGACACATAAAAAATGAAAACAAGGATAAACTATTGAGTCAACAAGTTATTATTATTATCGCTACTTTTATGAGATGATCTTGCTCTGCTTTTGGATGAGGCCACAAATCTCAGTCACTCATTAGCGTTCCTTCTTTGAAATGACTTTAATGTGGTTGTATATTAATTTGATTTCTACAAGTTTCCTGAACTAGAAGATTGACTTGACCTGTGGCTAGTCCAGTGAGATCGCATCCTGTGTCATCAGCAAATTAGCACTGACTTTAACCCGTATATGGTCAAGCCTAGCACGGGCAAAACAACACCATCATTATTTTTCTAACTTCCAGCACTTCATTAACTATGGCACCACATAGGGTTATATAACTGTGAGCGTAACTTTGTAAAGTTTATAAACATAACAGAGAACGTTCTCACTGGTGTCCTAGGGCAGGCCGCATGCGTCGCTTCTTGAGGTCACCCAAAGTTCCTTCTCCAGACAGCTCACCCTTCAGTTGCGAGGGGAGGCGGACTGCCCACATTGGCTGTCCCAGCACTAACCCCTCCAGTGATACTTAGCAGCCCTGTACTCCTGCCAGAATGTCACCAGAAGAAGATTGATTGCCTCTTAATAATGTTTCTCATAAGTTTCACCAATCTGGGTCTTTTTCCAGTCCCTAGGTTCTCAGCACTTGACCCTCACAACGTGGCATTCCTTCAGGCTCTGGCCTGACAAAACCATGGAGTCCCCAGGAGAACCAGATGTTCGGTCACTGCTGTAAGAATGTGAGACTGAGAGGTCTACGAACACTCACTGAATCTCGACAACCACAAACACCCAATTCAGGGCACCGGAGCCTCTTCCCCAACCTTAGGTGAGGCTTAGAAAATTTCCTCCGTCCCTCCTGTCTAACCATTAGGCAGTGCGGCGATAAGCTAAGGTTGATCCTTAAACACGAGTCACCTAGTTAACCTCCCTCACCATGCAAACAGACACATACAGAATTTAAGGCCATAGAAAATAGACGCCACCAGGGAATTCTCAGAGATCATTTATTTCAGAGACTTGTGTTAAAAAATTCTATATCTTAGACAAGTCTTGGCCACAATATTTTGGCATTGTGATCACCTGATTCTAAAATATCAAATATTACAGTGCAGTGGATTTGTGTACACATCTGTAAGCCCCAGGGGATATAAGACCCCACACAACCCCTTTATAAGAGTAGGGCTAGTAGACAGAATTGCTACCCACCTTATAGGATAATTTTGTCACATTAGGCTGTTGCTCTTTGGCATTATATTCCAGGATCATTTCTTGAACCATAGTCATATAAATGGCCACAACAAGGACTTTTGCTTTATGCAACTTCACTAGGCTCCCTCCTTACCTAGTCTTTTTAATTTTTTGATCATTTAGAGTATTGTGTTTTGTTTATAAAGACTTTTTTTTCAGAACAGTTTTAGTTTTACAGTAAAATTGAGCAAAAGGTATAGAGATTTCCCATATGTCCCTTCTCCCAACAAATGCATAGCTTCTGCCATTATCAACGTCCCTCACTAAAGTGATACACTTGTTACAGCTGATGAACTCACACTGCCACATATAATGACATGTTCCCCCCACTCAATTTTTGTGCTATTTTATGAAACATATACAATTATATTTCTCAGCTGGACACCGTGGCTCACGCCTATAATCCCAGCACTTTGGGAAGTCGAGGCGGGCAGATCACCTGAGGTCAGAAGTTCGAGACCAGTCTGGCCAACATGGCAAAACCTCGCCTCTACTAAAAATACAAAAACTAGTTGGATGAGGTGGCACACACCTGTAATCCCAGTTCCTCAGGAGCCTGAGGCAGAATAATTGCTTGAACCTGGGAGATGGAGGTTCCGGTGAGCTAAGATCGTGCTACTGCACTCTAGTCGGGGAGACAGAGCCAGACTGTGTCTCAAAAATAGATAAATAGGGCAGGCATGGGGGCTCATGCCTGTAATCCCAGGACTTTGGGAGGCCACGGCAGGCAGATCACAAGGTCAGGAAATCAAGACCACTCTGGCTAACATGGTAAAACTCCATCTCTACTAAAAATACAAAAAATTAGCTGGGTGTGGTGGCACACACCTGTAGTCCCAGCTACTCAGGAGGCTGAGGCAAGAGAATCACTTGAATTTGGGAGGCGGAGGTTGCAGTAATCCAAGATCGTGCCACTGCACTCCAGCCTAGGCGACAGCAAGACTCAATACATAAATAAATAAACAGATAAAATTGTATTTATCTTTCAAACATTTTTTCCCCATCAGCATGCTTTCATATGCCATTTTTAAACAAACAATCATACAATTCACATTCTCTCTACCTCTCTCTGTCCAAATCCAACTGGGTTTTAGGTAGCTATGCCTGATTGAAGGGAAATGGCTTATTCCTCTGCCAGCGTCTACCTAGCTTTCAAATTGGGGAAATTTCTTAATTACAAACTCATTCTGGCTAAAATTTCTTGGGAAAACAAATTCTGAAAAGGATCCTGGGAGGAAGGATTTTGGTTGTAGTCAGACTGGATTTTGAATCCTGGATTTGGCATTTAATTGTTGAGTGCCCTGGGCAAGTTACTTAACTCCTTATGCCTCCATTTACTAATCCATAAAATGCAGGTCATGAGAACCACTTGATTTAAGGATTGAATGAGTTAAGCTATGTCTAATATTTTGTAGTGGCTGGCACATAGTAAGAGCTTAATAAGCAGTAGTGAGGATTGGGAGGACCATTCCTGAGAGAAAAGTGCTCCCCAGTCTTCAATTCCTATGCCAGGATATTTAGATCCAGTGTATATTTTCCTTTCTTTCCTTTCTTTCTCTCTTTCTTTCTTTCTTTCTTTCTTTCTTTCTTTCTTTCTCTTTCTTTCTTTCTTTCTTTCTTTCTTTCTTTCTCTCTTTCTCTTTCTTTCTTTCCCTCCCTCCCTCCCTCCCTCCCTCCCTCCCTCCCTCCCTCCCTTCCTTCCTTCCTTCCTTCCTTCCTTCCTTCCTTCCCTCCCTCCCTCCCTCCCTCCTTTCTTTCTTCCTTTTTTTTTTTATAGCTGAAGTACCTGGCTCACATCTGTAATCCCAACACTTTGGGAGGCTGAGGCAGGTGAATCACAAAGTCAGGAGTTCAAGGCCAGCCTGGCCAAGATGGTGAAAACCCATCTCTACTAAAAATAAAAAAAAAATTAGCTGGGCACAATGGCACGTGCCTGTAATCCTAGCTACTCAGGAGGGCTGAGGCAGGAGAATCACTTGAACCTGGGAGGTGGAGGTTGCAGTGAGCCGAGATCGTGCCATTGCACTCCAGCCTGGGCGACAAAGTGAGACTCCGTCTCAAAAAAAAAAAAAAAAATAGTCGAAGTACCTTGGTTAACCTACCCCTAGGGCCTATGGGCCTACTTACCTTCTACTTTCCTGTGCCCTCTATGCAATCCAAAAACTTAATTCTGGTGTGATTTAAGGATGGACTTTCAGCCCCGGGAACCTTATCTACCTCTTCTTCCCTCCATCTACTGCCACTGCCTCACATTAGAAGGAGCAACAACCACATTAAAGAAGTTCTCTCTTGGTATCATCTGCACATCTACCCAGATCCACATGGCAGCTGAAGTTACCTTCTCTCAGTGTGGTACTGACACATGAACTCTAAAGAGAGAGCTAGAACACAATTTTTAAGTGATAGAATATCTAATTGTCATAGAAATTAAGGAAAAGATGATAAATTATTCAAACTCTTCTTTAGCAAATTTCTAAGAGATAGTTCCTCCTTCTGATGTTCAACCCTGAAATTCTAGCCTAAGCCACACCATGCTATTAGCTTAGAGAAAAATGCAACGTCTAATTAAAATGCAACTTTTAAAAGTCAGAAGGGGCAGAAAAAGCAGCCATTTGGGAACAAAAAAGTCAACAAAAAGAGTAGGCTGTAAAGTTACATCCTTTAGCATCTTTCTTCTCATAAAGGTTTTTTTTTTTTTTTTTTTTGAGATGGAGTCTCACTCTCTCGCCCAGGCTGGAGTGCAGTAGCATGATCTTGGCTCACTGCAACCTCTGCCTCCCAGGTTCAAGCGATTTTCCTGCCTCAGCCTCCTGAGTAGCTAGGATTATAGGCAACCACCACCACCATGCCTGGCTAATTTTTGTATTTTTAGTAGAGACCAGGTTTTACCGTATTTGCCAGGCTGGTCTTGAACTCCTGACCTTGTGATCTGCCTGCCTCAACCTCCCAAAGTGCTGGGATTACAGGCATGAGCCACTATGCCCATCCTCATAAAGCTTTTGATAACAGAATTTGAATAAAATCATAGTACTAAAGTGAAACCTACTTAACACTGAAGAAAACAGTATCTGTTTTTCTTAAAACACTGCCATGATCTAAAATACTCATCATCACACCAGCTGGTTCACATAGTGAACCAATTCTAGCTGTAGTTATAAAGCGGAGATTAGGTTTATTCACTTACTCTTTCCCTCAACAAGCACTTTTGAGCCTCCACCCTCTGCAGAGCATTAGAGACGCCCTGATGTACATTGGTGAAGAAAATGGTCACGGTTCTTGCCTTCATGGAGCTTAGCACTGGGGAGTCAGACAATAACATGTTGCTAAACTAATAAACATATAGCAACACACACATATATAGTAATAAATGTCACAAAGTTGGTGTCATGATGAGGATCTGTGCGACATACTTAGGCATTCCAAGAAGGTCTCCCTGAGAAAGGGCCAGATCAGCCTGGGACTGCAAGATCAGGAGTCAGCCTCAGGGACAGCGAGGGAACAAAGCATGGGGTGGAGGAAAAACCAAGAGCAAAGGCCTGCAGCAGAACAGAGCTTGGTGTTTAAACAGAGTATAGTAGTCAGACAGACTTACCTCCACATCTCAGCTTTGTTGTGTATTTTCTGAGCAAGTAATTTGAGACAGTGAGTATTACAGTAAGAAGCAGGAACTATGGAGTCAGGCTAACAGGGTCCACTTGGCTTCACCACTTACCAGATGTGTGTCCTTTAACTAATCACTTACTCTCCCTGTTCTTTAAATTCCTCCTCTATAAAATGGGGATAATAATCCTAGTTTATTGTGTTGTTGTGAAGATTACATAAATTAAATGTAAATGTGTAGAACAGGACTTATTGCATAGGGGGTATACGATCCATAAATAAGAACTATTCTTATTCTTAGCAACATAATTATCCTTATTATTAATATAAATATTGAAAATATCCTCAGAGAGTTAAAATGAGGATAATACAAATAATAAAACCTGCCTCATAGTATTTAGTTGAGGATTACATGAGATAATGTCTGTAAAATTCTTAGCACATGTTGTCTAGCACATACTGCTCAATGCTCTGGTAGCTATTACTACTGTTTTTTTTTTTATTAATAGTAGTATAGGCTCTAAGTTAAAACTAGTATCAAATCTACATGTTTTCTAAATTGACTAAACCTAAAATATTCTTAGAGCATCAAAATATTCTTAGAACTGAACTTTAGCCAACATTTCATTTGGTGCAAGTCCATATTCTATACATAAAAAACACATTTGTTACACTTGGGTTTTTGTATCTGTCACAAGGCCTTCCTCACTTGTCTCCTGTAAATGCAGCAAAGTCCCTCACGAGAGCTGCCTTTACCACTCATTGGCCTCGATGCATACCTAAATGTGCCTATTGGTATACGTTATATTGTCTTATTAATGTTTTTCCCTTTTAGCCTCAGAAGGGAATAGACAGAACACAGAGATAGACATGGCCCATCTCCAAACTTCTCACTATCTCCGTCTCAGCAAGGTGTGCTACAAATAAGGCAGTAAAAATGTCATTGGTGCAGGGTAATGAGCTAAAAGTCTTTACCAT